CTTCTAAGGATGCGTCCTAGGTTTTCGAACAGAGCCACAAACAGAGCTCATATTGCATCATAAAAATATGCAGACACTTGTGTCTTGTAGATAAGAAGATGATGTAAAGAATCATACCAAACATCATGGGCTAACAACAGTATTAGAAGTAAATATTAGCAAGATGCTAAGCATTAGTTTTGACCATCTAACCTTTCTGATGTCAACAACCGGATGTTATGGGCGATTTTCTCATCATGGAATATTTTTATTACTAATATGCTGGATTACTTAATCTGTGGACCCCTATGGACGAATGGAGTATAAACAATTGAAGATTGGATTTATAAAACGGCTTCTGGAGGGAGCAACTTTGTGATAAAAGTTGGTGGGGATGCTCTAAAAATAGTGTCTGATGGACCTACAGCTACTCAACCCGATTTCAATAGGGTTTATATTTTCCAAAAATGAGCTCACACATTTATTTATTAAATGCTTTACTATTGTTGAGAACACAAGAGTACCACAATACATTTGTGGTATTTATAGTTATAGACAGATGCCTACCTTAGTGCATTATTTTATAAAGGGCTCAAAAATATTAATGTATAAAAAATTACGAATAACAGCCGACACCAATGCCAACAGCAATATATCATGCATCCCTATGGACACAACTTCACTTCCATCAATCCATCCATGCATGGCTTCCCTTTAAGCTGCATCAGTGATTATCCTCCTTCACAAGCAGCAAAATCAAATTTAGAAATTTGTCCCATATGTAATTGGCAGCCAAAGTCTATATATTGAACCTTATATTTCAAAAATAATTTATACTGAATTATATTATTTGCGCTTTAATTCTAGCAGGTTTAATAATTTTTTATTTTAAGTCTGTGTCCTGTGAGTCTGGCTCTCTCTGGGTTAGCTGGCACAGCTATTTCTGAGTATTGTTGAACTACAAAATATAGTTATAACATTGCGTATTTTTTTTTGTAAACTTGGGGATATATTTTATTGCATATCCCAGTAAATCTGTTTCACCTTCAAATCAGCATCTGTCCCTAATTGTGTCCCTGCTCTGCTTAAAAACAGATTTTTGAACCTGTCTACCAATATAATGATGCCAAAGAAAATAATTTTTAAGATCTCTAGAAGCTCTGCAGTCTGATTCTCTGTTCATTAAGAAAACAGCAGATATGTTTATTTTAATCAGTAACTCGGAGTAATGTTCCTCTGAGAAGCTCACCTTTTTTTAAATTATATAAATGTAAACTTTGTTGCCATTTTAAGCTGAAAAAGCTCCGTATGTGCAAAGAGCGGATTTTTCGGTGGCATAGTTTTTTTTAACCAACCAAACTTTTACTGAAACATCGAAGTAGCAGCCGGTTAAAATTCACTGAGTGCAGCTATGTCTCTCCTCCTCCACGTAGGGACTCTGTAAGCAGTGAAATGCGACTCTTAATAATATTATATCCCAAAGCGACAGATCCGGATATTTCACCGAGAGGTGGGATTCGAGAGCAGCGCGAGAGCGAGGAAAAAACACGGACTGAAAACGCTCTGAACACAGACAGCTGCACCTAACCCCAGTTACTAAAGTAAATCAGCAGAAAGAGGGGGGGCTGAAATTATTGGTGGAGACTGTCCCCTCGATACCCAAAGTTGGTGGGGACATGACCACACCCCACACCAGTCCTTCAGAAAGTTACGCCATTGTCTGGATGCCTTCAAAAGTAGGTGTGGCTGCTTTGTTTCTTTACATTTTGCTATGCTGCTATATCTGTTTTAATTGTGCTTTGGTTCTCGCAGTGTCCATAAAATGATATTGGTGGTTGAATTGTAGAAAATCTAAGCTTTCCAATGATGTCTAACATGTCTATATTGGTAGAAAGTTTACGGGTGGAATTTGATGCATTCTGAGTTATTACCCCCACTTAACATCCACCTGGTCGCATAGGTGTGACAGATTAAGTGTTGATGAGATCTACTGGTGGAAACAGCTGGAGAACCGCAGATTTTTGCAGATGTGTCTGTGGGCGTGGCTTTTCAGAACCCATCTCCCCAAACACGAAATAAACTGCGTCTAGACTCCAAGAATTACACAATATTCTGTAATCTGATCTTTACGAAATAAGTTGAGATCTTAAGAAGTCACCATCACAAAGGTATTCCATTGCATTAAGAAAGCATGTAGCATGTTTTAAGGATTTCTCAAAACCCGCACACAGAGATTTGAAGAATTTGTCCTGCTGTTGTTTATCTGTTGTTTCAGAACCTCAGCGATGAGACAAAGAACCGAGTAGCAAAATCACGGAAAAGCTGTATGAGAAGTAAAAACAGCCAGTGCATTAAAGGCAAGGCAAGGCGAGGCAAATTTATTTGTATAGCACAATTACAGTACAAAAGAAATGCAAAGTGCTTTACATGATTAAAATATAGGAAAATAAAACAGAATCAAAGCAAGTAGGAAAAAATAAATAAATAAAATAAAAAATGCAGAGACAAAAAAGAACATAAAAACAAAGGGTCAATTGGCACAACTAATAATGCATTTTTTTCCATTTCTCTGTCATCCTGTATGTCTTTAAAATAAAAACTAATTAATGTCCTTTTTCTGTTCTTAAAGCACTGACTGTTTATATTGAGAGGAACAAATTTCTTTACAGTCCAACTCGTTTCCAGAGGAGTTAGGAATGTCTTTAAAGTTGAAAGTGTGTCGCAGGAACAAAGCAAAACAACAACGAAAAAAATGCTACAGGGAAGAGTGAAACCATGAGTTGGAATTCAGTTTATATATTGTTTGAATATATATGATATTTTGGGTAGGGGGCGAACAAATGCAGAACCTGCTGTACTAAAGCATTAAAAGAGCACAAGAGAGACTGACTGCTGTCATTCAATCAATGAATAAAATAGTTGAATAATGAATAATTTTATGGGAGATAACAGATACAAAAAAAAACATCTGGTTATCATTTGATCTCTTAATAGCTACGCTGCAGAACCTACTGTCTAATTATTTCTTAATGCGGTGACCCCACTCTGTTCTAAGAGTAATCAAGGAAAAAATCGTAACATCTGCGGTGCGCAGAGATTCTAACCAGTTAATCCTGCCACAAGTTAATCTGTCACACCTGTGAGGATAATTTGCATAGTTTCTCTTAAATAGACACATTTTCAGAACACAATAGCAATAGAAATAAAGTTGTTTCTTTCCTCATACCACTGTTTATGTGACCTGATACAGTTCATCATACAGGACAGAGTTTTGGGGTCTCTGAGAAAAACCACAAAAAAATAAAAAATTACCGTAGAGACTTGTATTTGTGTCCAAACAGGAAAATCGAGGAAACGTGAAGAGCATGGATTCTAATAACAAGAACATACGTTTTTGTCACAATTTAAAAAATAAAGTGGGAATAGTTGGAAGGAAGGATGAGAAGCTCAATTGTTCTGTTTGCTGTCAGTTTTTCTTGAAAAGGTGCGTTCTGAATGACAAGCTACTTTAATGGATTTTTATTTGCATTCAGGAATTTACATATCTGGTGGACTTGCTCGTCCAAGCTGCAAGTTTTGATTTATAGCTTATGGTTGAGCAGGAGAAATGACACTCCATTGTGAGACAGACTTTTATTTATATATTTTCTGTACACTTGTGAACGACGCTGTTCTTTGTGTGAAATTCTTTGCACTAACTGCTTTTCTGTAGATACAAGTTCTTTGCCACATCATTCTAATCTGAAATTTTTTTTTTGAAATTTATTCATTATATATGTCGGTCGATTTTTTTACGAACAGCTTTGTTACGTTAGGAATATTTTTTTGTCAGGCATAGACACAGCCACCTACACTTCAGTAACACATCTGCAGTGCGCATAGATTCTAACCAGTTAATTCCGCCACCAGTTAATCAGTCACACCGGCGACCCATGGGTTTTGAGAGGTTAATTTGCATGGTTTCTCTTAAAAAGACACATTTTCAGAAAAATAGGTTATATTTATACGTATATACATATAAAAATATAAAGCTGACTGATAGCTTCTTTATTATTAAACTACTAAATTATTTTTTTAGGTGTGTGACACCATATTGGATGATGCAAAACAGAGATTTACCTTCACAAAGCCTCAAAAGGGCAAAATCTATTAACAAAAAGTAGACCTGTACATGATATGTTTTTGTTGTTTTTTGGCAAATGAGAAGACAGAAAAGCAGAGTCTGATCCCCTGCTGGAAAGCAGCGTGGCTACATTTCCCCCACCACTGCTTGTCTTATGATGCAATCACTCTGGGTGAGCGTTGATGATGTCGACAGTGTGACGGAAATCAGGGAAGTAAATAATGGAGAGCAACATAGACGGGAGTCAGAGCGTAGACAGTATTCTTTATTATTTCGCTCTTTTATCTGTCCTTATCCTTCTTACCAGCGCTGCATCATGTTTATTGAATGAAAATAGAGTTATTTTGGCTTGTTAGATCAGAAGTCACTGGCACGGTGCTTTGACATCCGTATGTTGTGTTCAATGGTGTCACGTAATTCGGTTTATTAAAATAGCGCCAATTCACAACACATGTCATCTCAAGACAATTCAACCAGATCAAACAGTCAAACTGATTCAAAG